CCAAAGAGTGTGAGTTCAATACCCGGTTATGGCAGGGGAATTAACAGGAGATAACTGACAACTGACATCCATTAAACATGGCACGTGGAACTAGAACAGTCTACCCCAGTGAGCGAAATAATGGGTTCAGTTCGACGTTCCAACCACCTGAAGAAGGTCGGAGCGTACAACGGCGGAAACTTTGTGATAAATATGGCAACAAAGATGAGTACAATAGCCCGAATAATGTAAATAGTGTACATAATACCTCATCTCAGAAATATAGACAGATACTTTAGCTATTCTCTTTAAAAGGTTAGTATCTTGAGGATAAAATAAAAGGACGGCATCAATATATCTTAGGTAAGCAGAGCAGTTATGTGTCTAAATGCGACGGATTCTAAGAATTCTCGAAAGAGGCAAGCGAGAATAACACTGATAGGAGACCCCATTGGTAAACCGAATTTTTGTTTGTAGAATATATTATTGAAAGAAAAGAAACAGTGGCTAGTGATTAATTTACATATCTTTATGATTTTGTGGTACAGGAAGCTTATCCTTGGATTTATTGAGGTGATTTCTTAGTATATTAAGACATATCGTGATGGGTATATTGGTGTATAGTAATTTGTTATCTAAACTAGCCATATCCATGTTAGTCATGTTTATATGTTGTATTTTTTGGAATAAGCCACCGAATGCTTGACGTGTGTTATACCGATGGGGCCTAGGAATGGAGTTAGGATTTTAGTGATAGCTTTAGCTAAATTGTGGAGATGCACTGTTAATTACGGATACAATGGGTCTGATGGATATGTCGGGTTTTGTGTGTCTTGGGTAAGCCATATAGTGTGGGTATAATGGAATGATAGTCTATTAATCTCAAGCAAGATTTTTTTTCATTTTTTTATAGTTTCTCGATAGTTTTGTTGAACCTATGTGTTTCAGTGTTTATGGTAAGTTCATTGGTTTTAGTGAAGGTGTTATCATTATTTAGCAAGGATTCTAATTTCTCAGTGTAAATAACTATACCGCCTCATTTGTCGGATGAGGGTTATGATTATGTTTTTGTTCATGGACAAGTTTTTTTAGTGCTTGTTTGTATCTTCTGGGTAGCGTAGTATTGATTGTATCTGTGATGGAGGCTGTTAACATGTCATGTATGAAAACTTTTACATAATCAGAAATTGTGGTGACTGTGTCGTATTTCAGTAGACTTACAATCCGTTCTTTTTAAAAAATGTTTATGTGGTCAACTGGCGTACCCGACAAACTTACATTGGTAGACGAGATAAATATTAAAAAAAAAAATTGAGTTTCAACTACAAATAACGCCCGAAGTCATAGAAATACGTCGGATTAAAAATAAATCCATTATATATATATATATATATATATATATATATATATATATATATATATATATATGTGTGTGTGTGTGTGTGTGTGTGTGTGTGCGTGTGTGTGTGTGTGTGTGTATTTCCCAGTGCGTCCATAAAAGTAATTTTAAAGTGGTTTGACAGCAATACCGTGAAAAAAAATGCTCAAACAAACTCGACACTCTTTTTGGGAACACCTCAAGCACCGGGCAATTGACCCAACTACCTTCAGAAGGAGTGGTACTGCCTGGAGGATGATCCGCCACACACCTAGGCCTTTGAGCTAATATTAATTTCAAACTACTACAATGAAACCAAGTTTTTATATATATATATATATATATATATATATATATATATATATATATATATATATATATATATATAATGTGATTTAATAAATTGGGAAAATTTAAATGTCACACACAGGGCGGATATACGTAGTGAGTTTGTTTTTTTTTAATTGCAATTAACATTTACACACAATAATACATATTATTTCTATAAAGTTTATGTTTAGGAGACATAAATTTGAGCAGACACCCAACACTGCATTAAACGGAATGCTAAATTTGCCTCTGACACTCAAAATTGAAAAGGAGATGAAAAAGATAGAAAACCAATATGGGGGAGTATAAAGAGATAAGAAAAACGACAAAAAGAAGAAATAACCAGATTCTACATGTACGCACAGAAGCGCATGCGTTCGGGCAGGCGCACACAGACAGAAAACGCGCGTGCGCACGAGCACACATATACGCATACACACAATGAAAGAATAATAATAAGAAAAATCAACCTTACAGAAAAGTGCATAAATCATGTTTTGCTAACTTCAATATAAAAGAAAAACGAGAAAATAAACAGTAAATTGCTGATATACCCTGAGGAGTGGACGGAGCGATTGCTGGGTGGTTCGTTTACGAAAACAAGATGCTGAAAGTAACATCAGTCGGCTGACAAATTTTATATTTGTATTAATCCTATATATATATATATATATATATATATATATATATATATATGTGTGTGTGTGTGTGTGTGTGTGTGTATGTATGTATATATACGTGTGTGTGTGTGTGTGCGCGTATGTGCGTATGTGTGTAAATGTAAATATATATATATATATATATATATATATA